ACTATTCTTTTTCCGTCAAAATCTACAACTCCCATTCGCAGCCGCTTCGTTCCTTCTTCTTTGTTCCCCATTATTTTCTCCTCTTTTCATTTTAAGAGCTCTTTCTATTGAGAAGATTGAAGGACTGTTGGAACTAAATACTACGTAACAAAGAAGAAAATCCTAAAGGAGCAATGGGATCCAAGGCCGAGATCTCACAACTTCATCCCATCTCCATTTTTGAAGTCTTCAAGACCTTTCCATTTAGTTGTGTCTAAGGTAACCATTCCTTCTCAAATCATGAGGTACATACTCCATTTTCGATTTTTCTTAATGTGCGTTTTTTCTTTTTTTTTCTTTCTTTTTCGATTTTATGTATATTATGTGTGATATAATAAGTGAATAATTTATTAGTTTGTTTCATTGTAATGATTTTGAGGTGTTAATTCATTAAAACTTTAGTGTAATTTCTCTAGTTCATTTTATGCCCATAACATGTTTGTAGAAATTACTCAATTAAGTTTTTGTTGAAATTCAAAACTTTTTTCTCATTTTTTTGTACCTCAATGTTTAATGAGTATTTTTATGGATTTCCAATTTAATATGATATAGTAACTTTTTCCAATTTAATATTTTTTAATTGTTTGTCATTTGCTTGTTAGTTGTCTGTATTTGTTTTGAGTTGTCTGTAAGTACTTGTCTATCATTTTGTTAGAGTTGTGAAGTTATCTGTCATTTTAAAAATAGATGTCTGTAATTCATATTTAGTTGTCTGTCATTTGATTGTGCGTTGTATGTAAGTTGTGGTGTGTATTTTTTGAGATGTAATTAGTTGTCTCAAGTTTTCTTTGGAAGTACATTTGTTAAAGTATTTATGACTCAATGTGTGCCTCAATAGCAAGCATGGTATTAAACTCAATATTTTTTTGCATTACATGTATTGTCTGTCTACTGTCTACAGATCCGAAGAATGTGGCGTCATGTTCATATCATTTGCAGAGCAGCTGTTACTGAGGAAGTTATTGATTCCTGATTATGACTACGCTAACATGATGCTTGAAGAAGGCTGAAGCATAGACTGTTGGGGAAATGTGTCGATTTTGAACTTGTGATTTTTTTGAATATGTATTTTTTACAAGCATTACATATTACAGTTGGGGAAATATGATACTCTTGTGGGGAAATGTGTCGAATTAATGTGTCACTAGAATGTGTTAATGTTTTAAGTAGAATTGCCCGTCAACCAGACATAATGTGTCAGTCATATACAATTATTGTTTGTTTGTAGAGACAAAATGATAATTGTTTGTTGAAGTGAACATGTATATTTTTCTAAAATAACACAGTAAGAGGAAGAACAGATTTGTATAATTGTATTATAGTCCCCGTTGTTGGTATGAAGTTCCCTAGTAAAGATGCAATGTATGATTCTACAAGGAGAAGAGTAGGTTTTCCTGTTAGAATAAGGACTACTCTTTGTCTTACAGCCAGACAAATTTTGTCTTGACCAGACATTAGTAGTCTGGGACAATTAACTACTATCTGTTCTACAGCCAGACAAATTTTGTCTTGGCCAGACATTAGTAGTCTGGGTCAATTAAGTACTCTTTGTCGTATAGCTAGACAAATTTTGTCTGGGCCAGACATTAGTAGTCTGGGCCAATTAAGTACTCTATGTCTTACAGCCAGACAAATTTGTCTGGGCCAGACATTAGTAGTCTGGGCCACTAAACTACTCTGTCTGGGTATTTGTGGTATTGTCTGTATGTGTAAAGTTAATGTCTTTCTACGTGAATATAATGTCTGTATGATTATCTCTATTGTCTGTCTAGATATATGTATTGTTTGTCTATTCACAACAAAGTAATGTTTGTATGTGTAACCTTATGGCCTGCATGTTTATATTTAATGCCAACAATGGTAATCACCAACAAACTAATGTTTCAATCTAACTCCTTATCATTCACACATTGCATTAATACGGAAATGGTTTATACAAAACTACATACAATTGTTAATCACAACAGACTAAGCTTTAAGGTTTCTACGGTTGTGTTTCACCTATCAAGGTTTCACCAACCCACAAAAATACATTCACACATTAATAACAATTTCTATGCTTCCCCCCCTTCTTCAATCGCCACAAATGAACAACGTATTCACATCTCTTGTTCCACATGTTTGCATACTCACAACCTAGAATCAACGGCTTTCCCATTAACAGGTCCTCTACAAAGGAAGCAACCATCACTCCACATTCTCCCGACCTGTAGATAGACAAATCAGAAGGAAGGCCATACATTTTATATCACGTTAGTACATTACAGTTAATTTTTTGCAATAAATTGACAGACAACTCAAATGGAATGCCAGACAACTACTTTCACATGACAGACAACTACAAACCAATTTTAACAATTGGATTTCACGTGCCAAACAGCTAATATACCTTGCCAGACAACTAATTTCACATGACATGCAACTATAAATCAATTTTAAACAATTCAAAATAAATTGACAGGCAACTCCAAACCAATTACATAATATTCAAAATACCATGACAGACATCTCAATATCATCACAGAGCAATCTAAATATACACAACTACTTCACAATTTCACCAGACAGACAACTATCTTCACATTACAGACAACTCAAATGGAATGCCAGACAACACTTTTCACATACAGGTAACTACAAATCAATTTTAAAGAATTCATTTCAAGTTACAGATAAATCAAATGAAATGCCAGACAACTCTTTTCACTTCACAGACAACTACAAACCAATTTTCAACAAACAAAAATACAACAAAAAACATACCTTTCAGCCATTTTCGATAAGCTAGTCCGCACCACAAACACTTATATCCCTGAACAAGAGCCATCAAGTTAATCTAATAACATTCGTTTGTGGTATTCTAGTCTTGAAGAATTACATAAATGAATTAGAAGGCGAAAAACTGGAATGCCTATAGCGCACTCTTTAGAATAGGGAAAATTATTCATTTAATAAGCAACAAACGAAGAGGTAGTTTGTGTGAAAATGATTTTTGGGAATTCTGTTTTGGCAACGCAGGGGAAGTGAAAGCAATGAGAGCATTCCGCCGTGAATATGGCCGCCCCTTGCCCGAACTTCACCGTCCTTGAACATATCCCACACCTGCTCTGTTATTCAATTTTTTTTATATCAATAAGTACACAAATCTGACTATTCAGAAGATAAACAATATTTTCCAATTTCAATAATGTAGAGCATCTGCATTCAATACATACCTTAGAAAGACGGAGGCTGGATTTGAGGAGAACGCGGAGAAGAAGGCTGTGAGCGGTGGAAGAATCTGGGGCTCTTAGACTGTTGTTTCGGACTGTCGGCGGGCGGAGTCACTGTACTCCGGCAACGGAGAGAAGGCGTAGACGGAGCCGGTTGAGAGGGGGTGAGGTCGGTGACGGAGCCGGAAGAGAGCTGGAGATGGCAGGGTTTGGGAAGGTCTGTGACGTGAGATGAGGGGGTGAGGTCGGTGACAATTTTAATTTTTCGTGGGAAGGGGAAGAGTGGAAAAGCCATAGATCTAGAAAGAGAGGTGAGGGAGAAATTTCGACTGAGGGAGGTGGGGGTAAATTTTTTGGAGGAGTATTTATATGAGGTACAAGTTGAGGTAGAATTGGAGTCCCTATAGCAAAATTGGGGGATTTAATACCCTCATTCACCCTGGAGAAGATAAGAATAATCTCTCACTGCCACCATAGGCATGCAAGAAAATGAGCATGGCCCCACAAGTTAATAAATCCCAAATTTTTTAAATGTTGTATAGCTTTTTATGTGAATTCAAATTTTTACAAAAAATATATCAAATTTTATAGTTTTTTATAATCTTTCATATGACACCAATATTGAATATGTAAAAATTACAAATAAAAATGTGATATTTTATCTGCCGGAGATATTTAGGCTCAATTTTTTTGTTAAATAGATCAAAATGTCCAAATGAAGATCTCATGATTACTTTTTTTGTTACATCTTTCTGTAAATTTTTTCAAAAATAAGTTTGAAGTAACAATAAAAAAATTACACTCCAAATTTATTTATTTTTACATCGGAATCTTTGACTTTTTAAATTATAATTATTTGTAAAAAGAAATTTGGAAAAAATAAATGTATAATAAGAAAAAGTAAAGATTTAACTAAAAAAGTTTATTGAGTGAATATATTGACGGTGCTGGATTGCAGAGAAAAACTGAATTGACTGAGTGAATACGTATAAACTGGAGGAATATTTGATTTATTGATGGAGAAGGTCCCGGTTAGCCTAACAATGAAATTTCTATCTATGGGCAGAGTCGTCATCTCACCCCATTCAGATTTAAAACGTCACGCAGCTGCATGTTCAAAGACTATGGGCCAAGCCCAAAAGGCCTGCTGGACAAATATTGAATATACTTCAGAATAGGCCTAGTATCGATTCACTTCTTATACTACCTCCGTCTCTTAAAACTTTGTCAAAGTTGACCGGCACAGAGAATAATAAAGTAAAAATTGTGTGATTGAAGTTTGTGCAGAGGAGAGAGAAATAACAGAAACCACAAAATAATTGATTAAAAGAGAAAGTGTCAAAGTTTTTTGGGACGCCCCCAAAAGGAAAGATAACAAAGTTTTAAGGGACGGAAGGAGTATGAAACTAGTAGAATTGTTATAAAAAACTTTATTAATAAAATCAGTTCGGTTCCTATATCAAAATTCTTATGGAACTGAACCACTACTTAACGGTTCGGTTCTTGTTTTTATCAATTCCTAAAAATAATTTTTCCCGCATACAAAATATGTACAACTTACTTTCTACCACAAAAATATTGAAAATTCTAGTCACATCAACCTTTTAAGATGATTCATGTCCTCAAAAGACTTGCTGCTGTAAAATAAAAATAATAAATTCACCATTTGTACTGTACTGTCCACGTGGAGCCAAAAATAGTTACAATAGAAAAAAACTAAAAGTTCACACCTCAAGCAAGAATAAGGATTATGGATCCCAATGATTAAGGATTATGATAAAATTGCATTTCATTTCATTTGATTCTATAGTAGGTCCACAGGTTTCCTAACTTTTCTTCAGTAAAGAGCGGATAGAAGATAGGTTGAATCTCGGTACAAAAGAGATTGAAGTTATATATGTAGTACTGCCATTTACAAACAACTATTTAACAAGTGGGGGTGATCCTGCTATGAACTAATTAAGGTCAGGCTCACTATTAAATATATCTGGCTCAAATAACTTTGCGGACTCGTCACTGTAAACACGGGGAAGAAAAGATCTACTACCAGCATCTTGAGCAGTCGATGAAGGGATGACCCTTTGGGTGCTCTCACCAGATATAAGGCCAGCACATAGAACTAAACAAGTCGCAAGAACCACAAAGGTGTTCTTTAATCTAGCAAGGACTGGCTTGACCTGTGAGCAATTAAAAGAGTACAAAACACAAAACATTTAACTGATCTCTCAAGTTTGGTTGTGAACACAATGCTTCATTATACTCCCAGAGAATCATGGTTTTGACCATTAAAATGTCCGCACTAAAAAAATTGGTTTCTTTCATAATAAATACGGCACACATTCCATGCTGAGTAGTTCAAGACTATATGCTGGTTTGTATCTCTTGTTCCCCTATATTAGATGCTTATGATATCCCGTAATGGGTGAAATTAAGAGGTTGTTAGACGATTTAGAATACAACTGAAGCTTTGAAATGTTATCTAATAGTCTAATACCAAGAACAAGTGAACCTTAACATGTTACCTAAATTAAGACTTCAGGTTTTCCCTTAGAGTAGTGAGCCTATTTGGATGCGCTTTATACAAGATTACAAGCTCAAGAGGGTCCAGAACACCGTTAAATGTAAACATACTGTTCAAAAGACCATTTGGTGACATTTTAAACTGCGCATATAAAGAGTAAAAAAGTGCCTCAAAATTCTTTGAAATAAATGTTTCTTTTTAAATCTCCTCTCACAATTACTTCTCTCAAGTAGAATGGTTGAAGTAGAGTTGCATTTAACAAAGAGAGAAGAAACATTTATACTCCAGAACTAAATTAAGACATCAGATTCGATGTGCTTCTAGACAAGCTTAGAAGGGCCTGAAACACTGTGACATGTAAACACACTGTTAAAAAGAACAGTCAGAGACATTTTAAACTTCATACAATGAGCAAAAAAAGCGTCTCAAAGTTCATTGAGATAAGATATATATACGCCCCAGAACTATATGCCAGAGAAGAAGTATGCTTCTCAACATTTTCTGGAACTAAACCCAGAAATTGTATGTTTTGAACTGATATATCCTTCAATTACATATTAGGGAATATATTATTCTATATGTCCAATAGTTGAGGGGTGTATATGCTTTCTAATGATTTGTTAAAGGGTATACTTGTTCCAACTTTTCAATTTTTGTGAGGGGTATTATATGGACTTTGCTCTCTGCAATATTGGTCAAAGTTATATTTGTTTCTTATCTCTTTCAGTCTTTCACAAAATAACATCCATATGAACTCTAAGACTCCATGCAATCGCAAATGAATTTAAAAAAAAAGTTTGCAAAGTAAATATCAGTGTGCCACGTCAGAAACTACTGCCCTCATTAGGAGTGTGAAACTAGACTCAATAGATAATATGATGTCACCCACATTGCCAAATTAAAACCATTACTTAATACTAATATGTTTTAACATTTCATCTTCGGAAGAAAGTTAAGAAGAAATCAACACACTCATTTCCTTTTCATGCCCTTACGTTATTGTTGATTATTTAGCTGGCATCAAATGTTCTAATTTCTCATCAGAGATGCACCATTAACTCCTACAGCCTCTGCTAGGAATGGGGGAAATGGCAAGAAAACGAAAATAAAAATGCTTACAGAAATACTTCTTTATATTTAGTTTTACCTTGGGAAAAGACCAAATACAGATTTTAATCTTTTATTATTTCTATTTATATTCCTTAACCTTTATATAATAGAAGGTGTAAATAAACTTTTGTCCAACGATCTAATATTGATTTATTGAGTTTGAACTTTGAAGCAACTGTTTTCCCTTCCAAATTTCCATTTTATTTTACTCTGTATTTCCTTCACATTTTCTGCAGGTCCCAAACAGGCCCATTGTGTTTGGCCCTTGAAAAAGGGAGGAAGTACAAAGAAAACTATGAAATCTTAATTCAAAACTAACAACTTGCAGTTTATCAACCACTTCTACGATGTGCAGAATCCAGAAGTACTCACAGAAAATGAACCCAAGAGCCGGTCCCGTGCCAACATTTCAGGAGTCTTCACCCAAACCTGTCAAGAAATATGTTATTAATGCACATTGCAATTGTGTCTATGTGTGTGTGTGTGACAGACAAACAGACAGATAGATAGATAGATAGAGACCATTTTAACAGAGGTACCGTTGCATTTGAGAAATGGAACAAGCATAAGTAAATTACACAAAATGCTCACATTTGTTCTAGGTGAACTGGTGAAGGCTAACACAACTACCTTCAGTATATGTTAGTTATCTAACAGTCTATTCAAACAAACACTGAAACATCGATAGTATAAGAAATCATTGCCATCACCGGATCATGTTTGGTGAAAATAAACACAACATTTTTGATAACAAAAAAAACTTATTTCAGGAGATGCCCATCCAAAAAAGAGAGTTTTGTTTGTCCAGCCACATACAGTTTTCTAGTCTTGGTAAAGTGCAATTGATATAAATCATTAAAGCTCTACTTGAAAACTAATACTACGAGCGGAATAGAGCCTCCCTCAACATCCCCATCTCTTAAATTTTGCATACTTGTTTCTTCCTATTATATCTATTCGCTTGTCAATGCAGATAATTAACTAGTAAATATGTTCTTCAAATAATAATTAGTCATAGACTAAAGAATTATGATTAACTAAATACCTCTTGCCATGGACTATGTTTCTGGGTTTGACTCTACAGGAATGCAAGATGCTAAGAAAAATAAAATATGTGTGGGTTATACGTAGTAGGGCTGCACGTAGGGCGGGTTGAGTCGGGTTTGGCTATTTTTTGGGCCCACCCAATTTATTCGGGTTGCCTATTAACCAACCCGCAATATGCGATATAAGTTGGTAAACCATAAATGAATGGGTCAGGTATTGGAAAAAAAATCACTTCGGGTTGGATCTCATTTCCAACCCGAAGTTGTTTCAGCCAATTTTAAACTAGATTAAATTGTTTCCAAAATACACAAAAAATAAATAAATGCATCTTTTAGAAGTTTAATCCTTGAGTAATAGTATCAAAACATCCTTGCTTAAAGGAAGTTCATTTAGAATCAAACGTAAATATATAATAATCACCTAGTCAAAATCGTAAATAGTTATGATTCCAAATTTCCAATATCATAAAGTCTTAGATAGAGCACATTGATCTTAAATAGAAATTGACCAACAAAGCATTATAACATAATAATAGCAATATGAACTTTCTGCCAGGTCTGCTACTATCAGGCTAGAGGTTTTAATCCATTATCCATGAATATATTCGTAATCAAATACCAATTAAGAATGGCCGGGTAGGGTTGGGTACTTGGGCCAGGTGGATTGTGCAGCTTCTGGTTATTCTAGTGTAGCCTTAATACGTAATACTTATTTAGAGGTTATAGAAATACTATGAACCATACCATTATTTCCCAAAACAAACTGGGAAGGACAAAAAACTAAACAAGAGCACTTAATTGATTTAACTAAACCAATGCATGAATTCATTCATCACATTAAGGGAAAAGCAAACATGGTTAAAAATAAAAATAGAAATACCTGCCCATCATACCACCCAGTCTCTTCATCTTCATCAAATAGCAATAAAAGAATAAGAAAAAATTAATTAACTTCTTAAATTATCATTACCTTCGGAAAATAAAGAGACCTAGCAAGAATCAAGAATCACAAAACAAAACCATACATTCAACAGTGGCACTGAGCAAGCGGTCACCAATATAGGCCCATCCCAGATACATCCTCACAACAGCGAGAGTGACCACGATAAGCCCGCTAGAAGCAGCACCCAACAGCGCCTTCAAAGGGTCCGACTCGGGTCCAACCGACCCGAACCACAGAACGGGCAGGCCCACTAAGAGCGCAAACGAAGCTCCGGTGACGAACAACCGCGAGCTATAGTCGGTTAGGTTGCCGGAGGCCCAAGAGAAAGGGAATGATTCCGACAAAGCCTTGAATTCGTTAACTGGCTGCTGCTCCAGCGGGACAGGGCAAACCGTCTCCGGCAGAGAGTTGCTGTTCTTGAAGGTTGCGAAGGATATATTGGTGAAACACCGGTGGTTTAGTCGGAAAATTTGGGAGTGGGGTTTGGTGAAGGGTGGGAGAGAAGGAGCGGGTGGTGATGAAGGAAGTAACTTTAGCGATATCGCCATTTCCCAGCACGATGTCTCCTGGCTGAGTGGATAACTGGATATCATCTCTTTTCATGTTTGGGAAAAATATTTTGTGAAACAATTAATGATAAAATAAAATTGTTTTTAAAATGAAAGTAATGATTAGAATATTAATAGAATCATTACGGAGTATTAAATTACGTAACTATTAATAATATGTAAATAAGTTTGATTTTAGGCGGATTAATATTTATGAAAACCCTTATTTTGTTTGTGACATTAAAAAAAATTGTTGATTATTGAAAAAAATCTTTATGTTATTAAATTAGGACATATTTTGATCATATGGGCTCATCTTTGAGTGTGTCACATATACTATCGAATTACAAAGTGTTTGAAAAGACTAATTTTACAAATAATCAATATTCGTACATATGTAAAGAAGTTTTAGATTCTAAATGTGTAATACGGAGTACTACCTCCGTTCCAAAAAACATTGTCATTTTCAAAACTTTGACCGATTATATCTTTTTATAGAAAATTATTTATAATATAAAAATTATATGAAAATGTTCTTTGTTAAAAGCACTTTCATAAAAGTATAAAATTTATAATTTTCATAATATTATACTAATCAAAATCAATGTTCAAATTTTTTGAAATGTTAAAGTTTTTTGGGACGAAGGTAGTAACAAATGTAGGAACATGAATATGTATCTGTTCAAAAGAAGAATTTTCATATTTTCCAGTTTTCGTATATAGAATTTAAAAAACAGAAGTCCTCAATCACAAACGAGTATATTTTGAAGAAGGTGTAAGCACGAAAAGGGGTAAAACTCACACTAGTTCCTAAAGTAAATTACGTTACCTGCATGTTATCTGGATAAGAAATTAATTGGCATTGTTTTGCATTACTCTTTACCACTCCCTCCACAATATTCATATCTTCACATTTTCCTTCTTATACTTTAACATTCATGTCTTCTCATTTCTAAATCTTCCCGACATACTCTCAATAATTTTGAAAATAATAACTATTGCAACTATTTTTTTTTGGATTTGTCATTCATTCCAGCACATTATTTCATTATCTTCCCAGCAAATCCTCTTTTACTATTCTTAATTTCGCATACTTTTAAACGAGAATATATATATATATATATATATATAAATGTTACAGAGGTAGTATTTGACATTGCATTACTATTTACTAGCTTATATGTTCTTGGCATTGGCTAGAATTGCGCTCTCTTTGATTGTTGCCTTTGTAAAATATAGTTCTAATACGTTAAGATGTTCTTGCTAGAGACAAGAATGCAATGGGTGAACGGATAGAATGCATCTATCAGTTTGGTCCGGGTAGTTTTTTTTTTGCAAGAAATAAAATTAATTGCTACTGTTCAAATCATAGTCCAGTTCACAATTAATACAACTATGATGGTAAATAACCAAGTATGACAATCTGACATAGAACCAGCCTCCCTTATTAACGTGTAGAAAATGTTACATTATTTTCTAATTAATTTGGTGTACATACTTAGCCGAATAGATTAGAATAGAGACTGTTAGTTAGAGATAAACTCGTAGTTATCAAGATCTTAATCTTTAGGATCTACCCTAGCTGTTTGTTACTTGTACAACTGTATATATACTCTGGGCAATTGACCCATTTAATTTAATCAAGGAAGTTTTATTTCTAAAACTTACGTGGTATCAGAGCCTTGAATTTACACATCACAAATGATGGAATTCGAACATTGTGACTCATCTCCCCATTCACATACCAGTAACCATAATTCTCATATTAGCTCCATGGCAAAGTATCATGCCTTAGTTAATTCATATATGCTCATCACTAGGCATAGATTGAATGGAAGAAATTAACCAGAGTGGTCACAATATGTCAAATTATCAATTGATGGCAAGGGCAAACTGAGGTACCTAACTGGTGAGATCAAAGAAAAGAAAAGTGGTGAAGATGGCTACTGTGTCTGGAGGTCAGAAAACTCACTTGTAATAGCCTGGCTTCTCAATTCAATGGATGCATCAATCGCCAAACCTCATATGTTTATGAAAACTGCAAAAGAGGTATGGGATTGTATCAAGGAAACTTATTCAGATCTGGAGAACTCTTCTTAAATCTTTGAAATCAAAACCAAACCATGGCAATCTAAACAAGGAAATACGGATGTCATTTCATACTATAATGAAATGGTATCTCTGTGGAAAGAATTAGATCAATGATATGATGATGAAGAGCAGGAAAGTGCCAAGGATCTGGAAAGACATAGGAAAAGAGAAGAGAGTGATAGGGTCTACATGTTTATACCACGCATTAATAGGGACCTGGATGAAGTCAAGGGCAGAATTCTTAGGAAAAAAACCTCTGGCTTCAATCAGAGAAGTTTTTTCTGAGATCAGGATGGAAGATAGCAGGAAGAAGGTTATGTACAACACTCTAGTACATAATGAAGAACCTGGAGGACCGGTGAGAAGATGGTTGAACGAAAACCAGGGAATCCCGCTTGTCGCCAAGATGACGTTCTGTTCTTCATCAATATCATCGGCCTCGCAGCGTAAGACCAAAGGGCAGCACGGAGGATCGGTGAGAAGATGATTGAATGAAAACCAGGGAAACCCGCTCGTCGCCAAGATGACGTTCTGTTCTTCATCACGATCAATTGCCTCACGCAGTGTAAGACCTAAGGGCGGCACGGAGGACCGGTGAGAAGATGGTTGAGCGAAAACAAGGGAATATCAGGGGATAGACCTGTTCTTCATCAAGATCATCGGCCTCGCGCAGCGTAAGACCAAGCAGCAGCACGGAGGACTGGTGAGAAGGTGGTTGAGCGAAAACAAAGACCCCTCAAAAAAAGGGAGGGGCACCAGGGAGTCCCGAAAATGGATAGATTTGTTCTTCATCAAGATCATCGGCCTCACGCATCGTAAGACCTAGGGGCAGCACGGAGGACCGATGAGAAGATGGTTGAGCAAAAACCAGTGAATCCTAGGAGATCAACCCGTTCTTTATCAAGATCATCGGCCTCACGCAGCATAAGACCCAGGGGCAGCATGGAGGACCGATGAGAAGATGGTTGAGCGAAAACCAGTGAATCCTAGGAGATCAACTCGTTCTTCATCAAGATCATCGACCTCGCACAACATAAGACCCAGGGGCAGCACGGAGGACCGATGAGAAGATGGTTGAGCGAAAACCAGCGAATCTGAGATAAACCCATTCTTCATCAAGATCATCAGCCTCGCGTAGCATAAGACCCGGGGGCACCACGGAGGACGATGAGAAGATGGTTGAGCGAGAACTAGCGAATCTGAGATAAACCCGTTCTTCATCAAGATCATTGGCTTCACGTAGCATAAGACCCAGGGGCAGCGCATCTGGAACCATTTGCTCGGGAACGTTCGTACCCACTACGAGAGGAATGGCGAGTACGGACGCAGCACAAAGTGGCGGTAACCCAAGATCATTCACAGCAAGATCGGCCTCTAAGCATCGTCGTATGCCGTTCACGGTCGGCTCATCCATGCCTCCCAGGATGACGAACACCGTCTTATGCACTATGATCAGCCCCTCAGCGAGATCGTGTCTAATGTACGGTCAGGCTCACTATGCAGATAAAGGTCATGATCAGGACGTCAGATAACGGAGGATGCTCAAAATGAATCTTGAAGAGGGCTATCGTAGCAGAGACGAGCATCGCCACTACAAGGGCCGATGGTCTGGACACAAGCTTCTCCACTTCAGAGGCCAGGCGCCCGGAGACGAACATCTCCACTTCAGATTCCAGGGGCTTGGGGAGGATCATCTCCGCCTCAGAGGCCGAGGGTCTAAGCACAAGCTTCTCCACTTTAGAGGCCAGGGGCCCGCAGACGAGCATCTCCACTTCAAATTCCAGGGGCTTGGGGACGACCATCTCCACCTCAGAGGCCGAGGATTCGGAGACAAGCATATCCACTTCAGAGGCCGAGAATCTGGAAACAAGCATATCCACTTCAGAGACCGAGGATATGGAAACAAGCATCTCCACTGTAGGTTCCGAGGGTCTGGAGACAAGCATCTCCACTTCAGAGGACGAGGATTTGGAGACAAACATCTCCGCCTCAGAGGCCGAGGTCTGGAGAAAAACATCTCCCCGTCAGAGGCCGGGGGTCTGGCGACAAGCATCATCCACGAAGAGGCCAAGGGCCATGAGATGAGCATCACAGCCGAGGGGCATGAGACGCGCAGCATATCCGAGGACTGAGCCTGCCAAGGCTGAGCTTATCGAAGTCATGACGTCCAAAGGAAGCCGAGTCGAATCTTTAGGGACCGATCTTCCTAAGCATGTCGAGCCGAGCATCTAGAAGGAAAATTCCGAGGGTCGAACATCTCTAGGAACTCAGACTGAGGATTGTCGCTGAGTATAAAGAGGTCAGGGCGCCCCCGGGTCGTGCATGACGAGGCTGGACAATCCTAGGCTGAGGTTCTAGGGGACGGACGTCCAAAGGAAGCCGAGTCGGGTCTTTAGGGACCGATCTTCCTAAGCATGTCGAACCGAGCATCCAGAAGGAAAATTCCGAAGGTCGAACATCTCTAGGAACTCGGGCCAAGAATTGACGCTTAGCATGATGAGGTCGGGGCACCCCTGGGTCGTGCATGACGAAGCTGGATGTATCAAGGCCGAGGTTCTAGGAATCAAACGTCCAAAGGAAGTTGAGCCGGGCATTCAGGGACCGAACGGCCCAAGCCCTCACATATGCCAACGAAGTCAGAGGACGATCAGAGTATACTTTAATCACCCTACAGACGTCCCTATAGAAACAACAGAGAATACCCTCCTAGAGGGGGAAGACGTACGTCCCCAACTGTCGTTTACATAGACGGCCGGGTACGGAGATCCAATAAATAAGGCAAGACGTTCGGCGATCCTGAATATAGCAGGCAACCGTCGCGTCAGGGGTGTCAGCTAAAAGCAGTATGGCGGAAGCGGTTTCTCTTCTTCATGGCAGAGCGGAGTATACTCTTTTTCCTCGTTTAGGACTTTTCCCACAGGGTTTTTTCCTCAGCGGAGTTTTTAATGAGGTACTCCTCTGCCTATGACTTGGGAGGCGCCAAGGGTAT